TCACACGCTGTAATACCCTCGCGGGACTTCGAGAATATTAGGGCCGCAGGCGTGAGCAGAAGGCTTCACGCGTGCTCGAAGCAACAGCGTACGCTGGTCGGCTGTCTTGTTGTCCGCGCGTGCATCTGCCGGCTTGGCGTCTGGTGGCACACTTGTTCTTTTCGCCCTAGATCGCGGCTGCACTGCGGTTCCCCTGTGTCCTACACCGATGTGGCTTGCCTGCTGAACCCATTGGGGGCATCTCGCTGCATCGACAGCCATTTACTTACTTCACTCAAATATGCTCGTTTATTTAGGTCCTTCTCCCTCCCCCTTTTAGGATAAGTAAGCAACCGAGTGCCAAACCGTCCTCATCACAGCGTTAATCTCAGTGAGGTCTCGGAGACGTGAGCGGCAGGAAAATACAGTGCTAACCAATGCTGTCTCTCTACCTCTCTCAGGCCTTACATATCGACTATTTTCCGCTTTGTTTTTCCAAATTTACTCACAAAAAAACTGCATTTTAAAGACTCGCTTATTGCCCAACTGCGTCATTTGGCGCACTTCTCATTCGAGTTTCGTGGGCTTTTTTATGCGTTAAATATACAATTTCCTTTTTACTTGCCAACCAAAAGGTGTTATTGCTGTCGCTAGTTGGCAGAGCACGCTTATTTGTCCTTGACGTGTCCAATCGGAACATGCCCGCACCATAACTCTTCAGTAGTCCAGTTATCTGGCTTAAGTCGTGGCCTGTCGAGCGGCCGAGTCTCTAGATTCGAGGGTGGAGATGTCCATCCGCTATCCTCTCGGTAATCAAACTTGCAGTTTCATGATATTCTCACGGCGGATGAAGCTTGACCGAAGGACTGGATAACTCCTAATGTTCTAGTACCACTGTCGCTTCTTTCTATGTTATCTTTTGTCAGATGGGTGCTGGGTAGCCCTCGAAGGCATTTTTCATAGCACTCCAGTGCTTACCGAATTAGCTTTCAGCAAAGACCGCTAAAAGGTAAACCGACTTCCCTGGGGGGGGGAGGTCGTGTCGTCCTAATGACGTAATAATTATATGGTGGCTGGAAGAGTACTTCGTTTACACTACTTTTGATTGCGAAAGGTGACTTCATCATGTAACTTGTCTGTTGAGCGCAAATATAAATTAATGCGTTCAAGCAGTCATCAGGCTAACTTCGTCCTGGTGCCCAAGATCAGCCAACGTTTCCTCTAGGCAAAATTCGTGGGCTCTATCCCCGAGAGAGTTCTCACGCTCGAAGAGACTATCTTCTGACGTGCACAAATTGTTCACGGGAAGGAGACGCAGCTGGGACAAACAGGCAGTTCCAACGACAGACGGACGTTGGAGCGGTCGTTGTCTGAACCTCCAATGAAACCTCTTTCCCTTTTTATCACTGCCAACTGACG